TCTCAACTATCGTTAGATTAGTAAATCTGTAATGATCGAGGTCACTGATCTCCAATCTACAGATTTGTTAGACTGCAAATTTTTAATTATAAATTATTTATAAAATATAATAAAATTGTAACATAAAGTGTAAGATAAAGATTTTGATATATTAATATGAATATTTCTATGTATATATTTTCTGCATGTTCACTTTTGGTAGAAATACATAAAGTCTAATGACAATAGAATTGCAGGCTAACAGAAAGTGATTTTACTGTGTTCATTCCGGGAAACGTTCGGAAACGGTTTAACGATCGCGTAATGAAACTGCACGCTACTCACCGCGTAACGAGCCCGAGAACCAAGAGCCCGAGAAACTTTAGCATATCCTCGAATCGGCGTGCAACGCAAAGAAGTAGCGCACACGCCATACACGAATATCGATCCCTTACTCGTGAGCGAAGTGAGATTTAGGCTGAAAAACGCCGGCAACACCCCGGAAATGAAACTGTCCATTATCCCGGCGGCAATTCGCGCTGATTCCGAAAATCGTGCGGCGAGAGAGAGTTCGAAGACCCCGAGACGGAGACGTTGAACGACCTCGGTTCCGGTTAATAACTCTGTTTCTCATGCTGGTTTGCGCGCACGAGTTTCCTTACCAATAGCCTAAACCATCGATCACAAACGTTGTTTTATTGTATTTTCAAAATGCGCCCATGTCTTGTTTCGATACTTATCATCGAGCTCGATCGATCATATTCGGAGAAAGCGAGTTCATTATTTCCATTCTTCTTTTACCTTTCCTAAAATTACAATAAAAATTGAAGGCTGTTAGAGAATTGTACAGATTGTGTACTTCTATCCAGTTAGAAAGCATGTATCTATTAGGTGTCATGTTACCTTTTATACAATTTACGTTAGCTACTAACTGTTAGCATATGTGTTCAATGGTAATTATTGTGAATATGGATTTGATTCTCTAACAGTTGAAACGATATCAAAAGAACCATGAAGAAATCAATTCTTCCAAACTATTTGTATCATGTTGGAAGAAACAAAACGAGATCATCATTCTAAACACGTTTTTTTATTTTTTCTCTTTTATAGATTGTGATGGATGGTCGATTGAGGCTTTCAGAGAATTGTGTAGATTCTGAACTTCGATATATTGAGCTACAATACAGAAGGTAAACCGCGAAGCGTGATCAGCGAGATTATTCTGCGGGTAGCGGTCAGATCGGAATTTTCTGGCCAAAATATCATGGCTCCTGAAAGATAGGTGTATAAGATTGTAAGTTTACCTCTAAAAATAGCTGAAGGTGATTTTGGTACAGTCGTCTTAGAGCTCTCCTAATATCTCTTCTCTTAATATCAGAATAATATAAGTTAATCACGTTTCGTGGTCCAGCCTGTATATTCATTGATAGTGTGGGTTCAGATTTGATAGTTTACACGCCTATTCAGTGTTAAAACAACCATAAAAATGTTAATCTTCTCGCACTATTTGTATCATGTTAGAAAGAAGAAAAGAAGTTCATAATTTAAACAATTTTTTGTTCCCTTTCATAAATTGAAAAACTATTAGAAAATTGTATAGAAACTAGTTTTACATATTCTGTTCAAACTACTACGTATATGGATCACTCCATTACTAAATTTCCTACCTGTGTAATGTCAAAACAACTGTAACTATCCTGATCTCGCAAACTCGACATTCAAAACTATTTACATCAATCATTCAAAAATCCCTTCGTTTCTTCTATGCAATGAATCAGATACATTGTTACTAAACTACCCATGCATCCAATGTCACAACAGTCGAAACTACTGTAATCTCTCAATCAAACTCAAAACTATTCACATTAATCATATAAAAATCTCTACGTTTCTCCTGTGCGATCAATCAGATATTGTATCATTAAATTACACGTGCATTCAATGTTAAAACAACTGTAACTGTCCTGATGTCCCAAAACGGAGAAGTATTTACATTAATCATGTAGAAATCCCTTTTTTCTATTCATCTGATCATCGCTTTAGTCTCTATAAATCACTTTGATGATCGTCATTCTGAGAAATACGGTGGTAACAGGCCATTCGTCGAAGATGGCACCGACGTTTGTACGTTCCCTGTGCCGGCGTAAACTGGGACACGTCGAGGGCCGCGGGAGTTGGACAGATTCGAGATAAAGTCCCCAGAACCGAGCGGCTCACCCCAGGGGTTATCAACGCCCTAACCCGCGGCCGGCTAACGGCCGGACGTTCAATTATTTATTTAGTCTATCTTATCTTTCGCGAGCTGTACGACGCTCGCACGAACTTGCGTCGTGAGGCTCGCCTATCCTCGGAACGGGTACATCAAGTGCCGCCATTATCGATACTCAAAAGGGAACTACATATGTTTTGTAACAATGTATATATGATGAACTCGTGTTACATACGAGAAAGAGTGTGTTAAATACGAAATTTTTATACCTTCTCCCATTCCTACCACGTGTGGGTCACTCGAGCTCGGTAGTGCAATCTAATCTTCGCGTAATGTAATCCGATTCACAGGAAATGTTTATGTGAGTTAATCATAATTCAACATCAAAATTTTGATACTTTTGCTTTCGCATTTAACGCAACTTTACTGTCAGGAATTCCATTTGATCAACATTTTCCTTAATTATTTTGTTCCATTGATATACACACATGTGTAGCTACCCAAAACAATCCACTTGATATCCATACATGCATAAATTAAATTTTCATTATGCAATGTAAGCGCTATGAAACAATAAACTTCATATTTTGACTGTTCTGTCAAACACAATGATTGCATTGCAAATGAATTGTAACTAAAATTTGAATTAAAATAATAGTTAAAATCCTGCTACCTTGCAGCTTATCTCAGAGTCTTCGAATTCTTCTGAAACCAGAAAGATTCTTCAGTCAAGAAAAATTCTTATTTCAGTTTCCATAGATTTTTATGAACCATAATTCAAATTTAAGCTAGATACCATAGAAATATGTATAGGATTTTAGAAAAACATAAAATACTGCATAATGATAGTAGACAGCTCACTCATTCCATTCAGGAGCATTAAATGTTTGCATATGTGTGTATGCCAAGTGGATCAGAAATCGTTCTGGGTAGCTGCATGTATATGGTTTTATACGATGAACCATAATGAACGCACGATATGTCTTTACGTATTTCATTTAAAACATGAACACTTTTTTAATTAAACAGAATAACCAGAATTTAAATATGAAGGAAAGCTGCTTTAAGATATTAATAAGGATGCATTTCTACTTTATCTTATTAGATCCGTGTGGCTAATATGAAAATAAAATTGATGTAGAACAATTGAAATTCTTGTAACTAACCCCTTAATATTATTTTTAATTATTTGCTAATTGAGAAGCTTTAAGCTATATAGATAACATTATATTTTAACGCGAACATCGTATTTCGTTTGCGGTTGTGAAGTCAGTTCGTTTTGGCACGGTGTCCTCGTGTCTTGGAAGATAACGCCTCGTTCGCGGGAAGAGCCGTTAGGAACGGAATATATTATCCGTAACAAAGGGTTATTGGTGACGAGGACCGAGCGAGCGAGCACAATCAATGGCGGCCGTGTTGTGACAAAAGGAAACATTATATACGGCTGTCTGACCTCGCGTTTCGCCTGTATTTACAGAACTTTTCTCATCGAACAAAACCTCGCTCTCTTATGGAATAATAAATATTAAATAGCCAGGATGCATGAACATTCGATATTATTATGTTCCAGTATTATTATTGAATTAGCCATTAATATACGTTGCTTCTGATATGAGAGTATAATCTGAACTCAGAAATCTGAACTCAGTCTCTTTTAGAACCGGAAGAGACAGCTGCTCAAGAGTCGCTCTAAAGGAGGCAAGAAGATTCGTGTTAAAGATGTTTACTCAACAGGACAGATATCGAAAACACGATATTCTATCTGAGTTTATCGTTTACCTTGCGAATCGTTAACATGCCACACTGCTCTCGTATAAATGAAAGGAGAGGCTAACACAAACGCGCTTCTCTAATCTGTACTTATTATCCTTGTCGCGACGTTTATCTCCGTTCGAACGACAACCCACAGAGATAATCGGCGTGATCGAGGAAATGAAAGAGACAAGAGAATGAAATATGTATGTACGAGCTTGTCCCAGTGGATAGAATCTGGGATGTGAAATCGCAATATGGTTGGTTCAATCGTGCTTGCGGGGAATAAGCTCATCGAGTATTTATATCCGACATTTGTTACTAAATATTGTACGCGTGTAATAGAAAACTTATTAATAACGGATCTGATACATTTATAAGAAAATTGAATCTAGAGCTTAACACTAGATTATTTAGATTATTTAATAATACATTTGAAATGTGGAAAGCTGCATGTATATCACGATGCTCCAATGACGGATTTTTATCTTTTAAATTGACACTACACATGTTTTACCCTACATAAAAATCTGCATAATTTGATTATAATAATAAAAGTATTATAATAAAAATATAATTATAATAATAATCACTTTTTATTATTTGAAAAGTATTAATAAAATAATACTACAAAAAAATAATACAAGAAAGTATTTTACGAATCGTAAAATCACAAACGACGATAATTAATCCTTCTAATCACAATTAAATATGATTTCCTGTGTATCTCGATGTGAGAAAGACTGTAGAGTTAGCGTGTCATAATACATATTAGTTTCCCGTGCTATAATTATCGACCAGAAACTTATGGTACGTGAACTGGTAGACGGTTTCTCATTATTTATCGCCGGTTTCGGTCATAATGTTTCCTTTTATCTGTCGGCTATCAACGTTTCTTTTCTCGGCCGAGAAATTGGCTGAACAGGCAGATATTATCTGTCTTCTCTGGTTCGGTATAGGCAGTGAAATTAAATAAGCTGGGTCGACAGAAAATAAACGTATATTATAATTAAAACATTTGATCAATCGTTATCTAATCCCAGCTTCGTTTCTGTTGCAGGTATGCATTAATTGAAAGGCGAAGTTGCGAAACCGGCACTCGGGTTTCAGTTTCGAGCGGAAGCAGCGATGAACGATAAGTAAGGATAAACGTAAATCACGTGGATTGACTGTATAGCCCCGGTATCGATGCGTGCGGTATTATTCAAATATGCATGACTTCGGCCGTGCACATTCCATAGGTACGTACGTATGTATGTGTGTGTTAAGCGTCGGGAAAAGATCGTGCGAATTTTTAGTACTAAATTTATTTAGACTATCTCATATCTTTATTTAAAATATTATTTTATTCAACGAGATTATCACCATTTACTACCACGACTCTTTTCAAATTTACAAGCTGATACGTCCATCTTCTATAAAATTGAGTATTGTTTTCAAAAAATGAAGCAATCGCTTTTCTCATTTCAATAATTTATTTCTTTCTTTGCATCCTTCATACCATTTCTTTGCGGTTTTGTCATTAACGACACTTTCCCTACGAACACTACAAATGCGCCTTGTTACATTCTGCTAATAATAACAAAATTAGCACGAAAGCATTTTAGAATGTACCTCAGACTACATATTAAAATGGATTTTATCTTGGATCGTTGAGAAATAATAGAACCAAACTCCATGAACGATCCAGTGTAATACTCTCATTCATACTTTATTATGTAATCCTGTTTAACCTGATTTTAATGTTTGCAATTGATAACTGGAGCAACTGTAACAAACATTAAAGCAAAAACGAAAGCTATAGTATTTTATAATACTAATACATTTGCATATTTAAAAGTTTCACTTTTAAAATTGATAAAATCGAATTTTATCTAATCTATAGTGCAATCTTTGCGATCAGCAAGTAACAGTCAGTAGTAACGCAAGTACAAAAACAAGTATTAAAGTTAGCCGAGCAGGATTTAATTAAAAAGTATTCAGACATTTATGAAGGAAGTTGAAACGACAGCTGGCTGCTAGACCATTGTAGAATACTCTGCGTTAACTTAGTCAAAAGTAAAACTGTAAGTTTTTAGCCCACGCTGCATCGACCCCAATTTTTTTCGTTGACTTTTTTTTTTAGTTTACGGTGTCAGCGGAGTGGAACGAATAAACCGAGTGTCCGGAACGTTACCGATCGCGAGACAAGCTGGGTTTAAACTCGTGCTTAAAGAACGTCACGCGCCATAATCGGCCGGGGCCGAGCATCGAACGCGATGGGCTGATTAAACGCGTGCCATAATGTGCGCGGACTCGTGTCCGAGGCAGTAAAGTCAAAGCACGTTCCGAAACAACGCGCTTGGATGCCAAGCGCGCAAACTAATGAAACCGACCTTTTATGAAACATCAATATTAGATTAGACACGTGACTCAAATAAATGGACATAATGAGAAGCTTACCTCGTTACATTTATTATTTTCTAATATTTTATAGCTTTAAGATAATAACATATTGTTAAGGGGGCAGAATCCGATAGCGGGGCGGTAAATATCGTACATGAAAAATGGAACGTCCCAATTCCATTTTTGTTTGAAGAACGTGAAACGAGAATTGTAAAATCTCATGTTCGAATCTAGTGAAGCAAATTTTTACACAAAATCAATATTCGTATATTTTATTTGAAATCAGTTTTATATAAGGGATCTCGTCTGTTTAAACATCTAACTTATATTTGCCCCTGAGAATTGTAAAATCTCATATGAAACGCTATGCGACACAGAATGCAAAGCAGAATTTTACACAAAATCTACTTTTGATTCTTTTTAACACGTAACTTTTATATAAATCTGTTGGATTGTCTGTTTCATACCTAACTCATTTTTTATGTGAATGAACTGTCAAGAATTCTAATTATGAGATTACCAGATTTACTATTTCGCCTCTTTGACTGAAACTCTGTAACTGTAAATTTTGGCTACTCTTAAGTCTTCTTGTCTCATGAAACACCCAAGTTATACTTTATTCATTTTTGATGGGAACAAACTGTGAAGAATTCTAAGATTATCAGATTTAGATTCTCTTTGTTTTTGTTCTCTCTTTCCATCCCCATTTTCTATTCGTCTTTGAGGTGAATCGGTGACGTGCGAGAGGGTGGTCGGTTCACCGATTACTCGGTTGCCGGATAAGAGTTCTGGGCTTTAGGCGCGAGAAGGCTGCCTTCCACCCTCTATGAGAGGGTGAAAAGCACGTGCACTCGTTCTACTCTGTCGAACGCTTAAAAATGAATTCAGGTCACGGGGAGGGAAAATAATGCGCGACAACAACCGATCCCAAACGCCTGGATTCCTCCAACCGGGATCGATAATATTCTACGCATCCACTGTACTCAACTTTCAATTATTTTACATCAGATTTGTAGCATTAGCGAATTTCTACAATGTAAGGATTTTCATTATCTAAATTATTATTATCTATTATTCTATATATTTTTTTAAGATTATGTATAATTTTATACTATTCATTGAATATTCTTCTATTAGAAAATGATAAAAAATCTGCATATATAGTGCAATCTATACGAATTGCGAATATTTTTAATGGTTAAAAATTAAAAAACACGTAGAATGGAAACCCAACTTGAAACTATACGCTTGTTAAAACATTTGATAACGTTACATTTTTTAGACATATCAGTAGTTATCATTTATCCGATTCTCTTTTGTGATACTTTGCTGTTGTTACGTCTGATGGATGTTGTTTTCATTAAATTATTACAACGTCGTTATTTCGCCAAATATGTTTATGATGCATACCATACACGTTTCATGATGTTTTATAGAAACGTTGGTATCAGGGCTTAAAGAAAGTCAAGGGTCGGAAATGAAATTTTATGTAGAAATATCTACGGTGTATCAGAGCATGTCTAACAGTGGAAGATTAAATTCCGTTTGTTTCAATATACGACCGGATAAAACGAGAGAGACCTTTTCAGTATTTCTCGTATACAAGTTTTCTGTCATCAAGACAATTTTCTCGTTTTACTTTCTTGTGTTCTTACTTGGGAACTTCCTCCTTACGATTTCTGTCAATGTTTTATTAACCACAATTCCTATGACAATCTTTATGGTCCAATTACAGCAATAGAATAGAATAGTGGGTACTTTCGTCGTGACCCTGACAAAAAGTGGCTGGTCTGGGTTCGATCGAAACATCCTAATTTACTGAACCACGTGTCCTCTAATTGCTAACAAGAACTTAAACAGTAATAAAGGAGGCCGCTATAATTTCTTGTATTTCACTGTTGGTATTTTTATTTGTTTAAGCATATACATAAGCATATATATAAACAATTATACATAATTACCACTTCGAATAAAAGTAATGATATTAGAGGTGTTTTTAAGTAAATTTATTACATAGATATACAATAGAAAAATAATAATATAAAGTTATAAATAACTAACATAGCAATAATATATAAGATAATTTTAAAATCCGGTGGAAAAGTTAAGATAGTGGGATATTTGTATTTGTTTCTCGCTTGAAAGTAATTGAATACATTAAAATACAAATAACATTTGAAGCCGTAGAAGAAACTCACGAAGGCCGCACGTTCCCCACCTCTGGTATACGAATTAGTAACATTTTATATCCAACCTCGTTTATTAGCGAGTTTACCACCGCTGTTTCGGAACCTGTTTCATCCCTTGAAACAGGGCTCATCGGAGTAAATCGCAGAGCAGATATCACCGCGATCCAGACCGATGGGAATTTCGAATTCCAGAACGTGGAAAACCAGGAGTGGTAACGGCAAAACGAAAATGTTACGTGATTCGCCTGTAACACGATATCTTGTTCGAGTTCTCAGCTCGGATTAGCGCCGGTAAATACATTGCCTAGCCAGTAACTGCGATAACACGGAGTCACGGGTCCGTGACTCGTCGCCTCGCAATCAGTTCCACGCGTAACGTTCTCATGCGAGGAAGAATTAAGAACGATATCAAAGGACTGAGTTCCCGGTTAAAGAAAACCTTATTCAGTGTTATCAGCCTTGAAGCTCGAACAATTCAGTGAACTGTTGGCTCAATTTTTCAAAAGAAAATTAGTATTTAGTATGTTTTATTTTTTACGGTAAGATTTTGCAACGAAAAAAATTGAAACAAGTCTCAGGCATATACGGTGACATTAATAAAATGTCAGAATTTTTTTTAGGTTTTTCTCATGACACTAAATAGCGAAAAATTTAAGAAACCTGAATATTCAAATGCTTTGCATTACAAAACAATCTCTTTTCCTCACCTCGGTTGAAAAATGGCCTAAATCCTCCATTTTTGGTAAGGCACCCAGGTTGTGTGTTTCAGTTGGCTCAAGGATAGTTTTTATTACCTTATACGTCTATACCCTTTCTCTTTCGTTAATAAGATTGATTATGCATAAACAATTTGACGTGTGTTACCGATCCATCTATTTTCGAGAAAGTCGCTTTATAATGCTTAGGTTTTAATGCCAACAAATATGTAAATGTAAAGTATTGACGTGGGCTTTAATCCTACAGTTATTTCAATCTATGCAGAATACAATCTTGTTTCAGTCTTGTTCACCATTTAACGAGCTTTACTACCGTGTTACGATCAGAACCGAGTAAATAAACGTTCACTTTTTCAAATATCTCGTTTCTTTCATGCTACCAGTATCTCAGTAAACACAGAGATGCCCTTTAGGCATCCGTAAATGTCTATCCTTCAAATAACTTACAGACATCCGCAGATACTTTTAGCTAACTGGTGTTGGTATTAGTCTTCTCAGCCCTGATAAAGTAAGCCGTAGTTCTGAGGAAATATTCGAATCATTCCTTTCGTACACCCGCAGGCCTCGACAATAAAGATCGTATAATAAGGTAAATGTCCCAATTTATGCCTACGTTATAATTTCTACTTAGTTCCTTACTTTTCTATAATTTTTAGGTAACAAATAAAATTGTGAAATAAATGAACAAATTGGGATATTTACTCCATTGGCCGTGAAATTGTAGTGTTTCAAGATGCTAACTAATTATGTTATGTTATGTTGTTTCTTGCTTCTCTTAAACATTTTTTATCGCACGTTTGCAGTTCTGCATTGAAATTCTAATATCGCTTGACGCTCGCGGCACGATCGGATCCGAATCCGTCTTCGGCGTTGTTGTTAACCTTTAACGAGCTCCTCGCCTCGCGTATTTGGAAATCTATTAAGCGCGAAAGATCAGCCGCGAGTTGAGCC